GGCCGTGGCTGTGTCGTTTGGTTTTTTTTCCTTTCCAATTTCTGCACACAATTTTACCTGTTCTGGTGGAGGATTTTGCCCGGGTCTGGGGGAAGAAGAGCTAGAAGTGGCTGCAGCGGGCTTGGTCGGCCTCTGCTGCTTCGCCAAGAGAGAACAAGAAATTTCGTTAAATTAGCCGTTCAAAGAGTTCGCGGGAGTTCGGAAAGTTGCCGGGAGATTTTACGGAATCGAACTGGACATTGATAAAGTGTCGACGCGACGGAGGGAGAGGTCGGAAGATGTGTATCAAGAGACATGTAAGATAATAGATTTCTATCGGCGTGGTATTATCGGTATGTCGATTTGGTATCGCAGAGAGGGAAACTTCTCTTGGACTCGCGACGCATGTATGTCGAATGCGTGTTGCTTAATCCTGCTCTGCCGTTCCGGGTCCATTTTTCACTCTGTGGTTATCACTAAGATGCAATTGGCCCGCAAACATCGATTCTAATTTCCCTTCAACTTTACGATTCCCGCAAATATTTTGACAAAGAGAGCCGGAATGTGTCTGACCGCGTTTCTTGATTCCCGAACGAGTTCACTTTAATACGCGAGAAACGGGAGAGCAGGCTCAAATTCCGTATTCCCGAGCGTCAATTTCGGCGGCGGTGTTCTCTGAACTTACCATCAGCTCCTTGGGATTAACGAACTCCAGAGCGTGCCGTTTGATAGCGTGGAATGCGGCATTCGGTGCGTATCCGGGATGATGCGGAGTCGGGGGTGTGGACGTGGAGACCTCGGTTTTTCCAGTCACCGTCAACTGTTTCCTCCTCATCGACATCGTCTGCGGGGGAAAGATTCGCGACTTGTGAAATGCGTCGCCCGTATATGGATTTTCCCGAGAATAAATTGCAAGATTGCTTACGTCCGCATTGCAGTGCCTGTCGTAGAGGTGCGTCATCAGCGAGAATCTGCGCCTCTTGAGTGCGTCGCAGCTCGCCCATAGACAGAGTATCTCCTCGCCACCGGTCGGACAGTGAGCCTCGCAAACGTGAAGGTAGACCTCGTGTGGTGTTTTAAATTGTCTAGAATCATTTAAGGCCCTTTTCAGCGATCCGCGATGGATATATATATATATACAATTTTCGAACAGTCTGCCGTTAATGAAAGCCAATTGACAATTAACGATGGAAAGCTATCGTCCCAAAACTTACCTGAGACAGCCGCGCCACTCGCACAGATAAGCGTTGGGATCGATTTTGATCGTGATGGTTTTGCTCTCCTGCGACGACGGCTGCGACGACGGCTGCGGCGACTGCTGCTGCTGCTGCTGACTCGTGGAGGGCTTCGACTCCGGTTCGGTGGAAGTCGACGAGCTGACGGTTTTAACGACCTTCGTGGCGATCGGCGGTTTAACGGCGGACACGCCGTGAGTGGCCGCCGCCTGATGCGGCGTCGTGGGTCTCGTGGGCGGCGGCGTGGACGCCGGGGTGGGCGTCATCACCCTGGACGGCACGCTGGTGGACACCGGGGTTTGCTGGGCCATCGCCGGGATCGTGACGGTCACCGTGTTCGGATTGGCCTGCGCCACCGAGCTGTTGACTATGATCGAGGTCTGCGGAATAGCGGCGGACGTCGGCACAAGCGGCGGCGGGATGTTGCCGAGCGCCGGGCTCTGCAGGATCGGCCGCGGCACCTGCGTCACCACCACCTGCTGCCCCTGCGGCGTCATCGCCACGACCTTCTGCGGCGTCGGCTGCGTCGCGGCCTGCGGCTGCAGTATGATGATCGTCTTCGTGCCGGTTCCCTGCTGCTGCGTCGTCTGCGCCACGAGCACCGTCTGCGCCTGTCCCTGCACCAGTGCCGTCTGCGGCTGCGCCAGGACGTAGTTCTGACCGGGCACGCCGCCCGACACCACGTACTGCAGCTGTCCGCCCGCGCTCTGCTGCAGCAGCACCTGCGGCTGAGACGGCGGCGCTCTGCCCTTCACCGACGTCGTCGGAATGATCACTTGGTTGTTGGACGCGATGGTCTGCTGGACGACGATCTGTCTGGGCGTCGTCACGATCAGCTGCTGCTGCTGCTGCTGCTGCTGCTGTTGCTGCTGCGGTTGCTGCGGCTGCAACGGCGGCGGCTGCGGCTGCGACATCTGCGTGATCTGATTGATGAATATGTGAGGCTCCTCCTTGATGTGCAGAGTCGGGGGCTCCTCCTTTACGAGAACCGGCGGTGCCTCTGTCTTCACGTGAAGAGGAGGCGGGGGAGAGGAGCCGCCGCCGCCGCCGCCACCGCCGTCGTCGTCGTTTCCTCCTTTATAGCGTCCTTGTTGACGCTCACGTGCTCGTCGAGGTCCGTCTCGTCTTCTATACAATCCGCGGCCAGGGCGGCGTAAAGATTCGCCGCGGTGGAGGAGACAGTCGCCTTCTCGCTGTCCTTGTCGTCGTCCTCAGACTTTATACTCGAGACCGTGGACTCGGCGGTGGTCGAGTCGACCGCCGGGTCCGGCGATATCGTGCCGTTGGAATACTTGGGCTTCTTGATCTCCAGCTCGTCCGACTCGCTGGCCGATCGCTTGATCCCCCGCGGCGCCTCGATCAGAGTGTCCTCGGACACCTCGTTCTGTATGCCGCCCTCCACCTCGGATTTTATCTTCAGCTCGCTCGGAGATTCCTTTAACACCTTCTTGATGTGATTCTCCACCAGGTCCATTTCCTTCTCGTTGATCGAGTTCTTGCTGAGGACGCCGTTCAGGATGGGCTCTTTGTCGACCTTCCGCTCGAGCAGATCCACCAGCATTCATGCTCTGCAGCGGCTTCTCCTTCGAGTCCCACGCTCGACGAGTCCTTGGACGAGCCGTCCTCCTGCGCGTCGATTGTCCATATTATTGCTCGGCGCGCCGTTCAGCAGGATGCCCTCGAAGCTCGTCAGCATATTCTCCTCCTCGACGCCGGCGCCGGAGCAATCCCTGCTGCCGCCGATGCCGCTGCTCGACGCCAGGGAGTTGTTCGTCGAGTCCGAGTCCTCGGCTATGGAAGTGCACGTCGTGCGTTGATTCGTTCTGTTCGGCGTTGCGGCGGCGGCCGCCGTCGTCAAGGGCGGACGACAGACTTTCAGAGAGGAAGATATGTGGTTTTCAGTCGAATTCACTACCATCGTAGTGATGGTGGACGTGGAGATTTGGTTGGCGTTGTCGTTATCGTTTATTTCAGTCTGGAACACGCGAACAGAGACGCGGCCGATGTAGCTCGGAGGGTTGTGCGAGAAAAGAAAAAGGGTTTTTACGAACCTTCTCGCAATTATTAGTCACAAGAAACTTGGCCCCGTTGAGCCTCTGTATCTTCTTGGCAGGAATGGGCGTGATCACCGGTTTCTGCTTAGCATTCGTGGAAGTCTTTGGGAGTATCGTGGCCGGGACGGCCGCGGGCGCGGCTGGCTGCATCACACCCGTCATCTGCTGTTGCAGTAACCTCTGCTGTTGCTGACGCTGGGCGACCTGGGAAACGTCCTCGACGATATTAAACGCGCAAATCCAAATTCCGCCGAATTCTATTCCACACAATCTTTATCGCTTCTATCGAGCCTTGCGCTCAATCTTATTGTGTGGAGAAAAAAAGAGATCAGGACAATCGAATTCGAAAAACCATGCTGTTGTTAGTATTCAATACGGCGAATACTCGAATCTCAGAATAACACTCGGTTAAATGTCGTTAATCTTTTTCACTCTCGTGTCAGCTCTATTTCGTAATGTATTTGTCAAGAAGGAGGGGAGAGGACTGAGTCTGAGTTTGTGTTCCAAAAGAAACGAGGAAAGAGTACATAACAAAATCTGAATACATCAACCAACACTACATCATAAGCACAGACATTTTAACGAATAGTACCAAAAAGTAAAAAAAAAAAAAAAACAATACAAAAATGCATATGCCAATTGTATTTCAATAATGATATTGATGTCAAAAATAAGTAACATTGTGACGCAATTAATTTAGTAAAAATGAAAACAAAATCTTTGCGAGAAACCTATCCTACGGCAAAAAAACAAGATTGTTAAAGACAATTCATCTTTCCCGTGTAACAACTGCAATTTATGTGACGAGAATATAGTTTCTGGCGATCTTCCTTTATAAAATATGCATTACTCTCACATTTATCATCTAATATTCAAGATGTAATGTTTTCTCGTTGCATACTAAAGTGCAATATTCTCATAAAAATATCGAAAAGACACTCTTTCTAGGATTTCAATTCAGTACTTTCTAGACGAGAACAAAAAAAAAAACAAAAAAAAGTCGCTACTTATTCTTGTTAATATACAACAATGATACCTGGTTGCTGGTTATTAGCTGGTTGGCACTGATGCTGGATGCGATGCTAGCAGTAGTGTTTGTTACGCAGGCAGTAGGGGTAGACACACAAGTCGCAGCAGCACTGGGCATGCAGTCGCTGCTGACTGTTACCTTAGTAGCCAATAGGCTTTTTATTATGGAACTCGACGTAGTGCCACTTCGATTATCTTCCTTAGCGACTACCTGGACACTTTGCGACTGTTGCTGCGGCTGCTGATGCTGCTGCGGCTGTTGTTGCTGCTGCGGCGTTTGGGAGCCGCTCGCTAGCAGCGCTTGGCTCAGATGCGGATGCGATACTGATACCTAATCGACAAGGAGGCAACATACAGATTTCAACCACCACAAAGGACCTCGGCTTAGGAAGATGTGTAACTTAAGCGTTTTTTTACATAAACATGCCACGATATATCTCTCCTCGCGATATATATCGCACACTACAGCGTGACTTTGCGCAGTCGAAAGAAGCGTTTTGGCAAGCGGAAGTTACAAGTGATGCACTGATTCGTCGGCCGATTGTTTCGTCCGAAATCGGAATGATTGCAAATAGAAAATGTCAAATACCGTCCTGCGGACTCTACATGTGTCGCGTTTTCGCACAACAATTGACGTGGATAATCTAGAGTCTCGCAAAAATAAGATAAATATTTGCTCTCACAATTCTTCTACTTTGTCTACACGCTATTCGGCGATCACAGAGCTAAAATTGAGGACTACACGAAGCATGCAAAGGAAAAACTCTCTCACCCCTGTGTTACAAAGGAAGTAACTCTAGCTCGTGTTAAAAGAGAGAAGAAACCAACATTAAAAAGTAGCATTATGAAGCTATGTAAAAAAACAAAAAAAAAAAAAAAACAAAGTGTAAACCAAGGTAAACAAATGAGAACGGCAGAGAATGGTACAGAGAGAGAGCTAGGACTCGGACCCACCTGACTTTTAGAATCAACCTTGGTCACTGGATTTTGGGACTGGCTCGAGGTGTTGCTGGACGGGGGTTTCGGCGGGGCGGACAGCTGGGCCTTGAGGATGGGAGACGCGGGAGTGGGGATGGTTTGCGTCCCGGACGACGCGGCGGGAGTATCGACCTGGGGGGCGGCCGTGCTATCGGGTGCGGGACTTATATTCTTGACTGTACGCTGTTGAACGGGAAGCACCTTTACTGGAGTAGCGTTGACCGCCTGCAACAGCGGTGTATTAGTCGCGACCGCAGCGGTGGTTTGGCTCGGATAAGTGATCGGCGCGGGTGTCGCCCGTACTCGGATGCCTTCGTAATACTGGGTGCCGGTATTTTCGCCCTTCAACGGATTCGGCCCCACGATATTGCCGAAAACGGATCTGCACGCGCAAACAAACAAGCGAGTATGTGAGTATATCGGAGCAAGGCCGGAACGTTGAACGGCAAGAGAACGCGACGACAATCACCTGACGCATCTTGGAAAGTGCAGCGGCGCTATGACGCCTCGTCTGCCAATTTTCGTGCAGCAGCCGAGATACTTTTTGTACAGTTCTTCTTGTTCGATGCGCGCGCCGGGCGCGAGCTCGAAAGTCGCTTTCACCCAGCCCAAAGCGAACTGCTCGTTCTCCTGAATGATTTGCTGATGCGTGCTCTGCTGCTGGATCGCATTGGCCGTGTCTACTGCTTCTGCGAACACGGACGGAAAGGAGAAAGTGAGAAAAAAAGAAGCTAAAGAGTTTCGTTTCGCGAAGAGAAAGAGGGAAATGCGAATCACGTACTGTGCGTTGTCGACTTGGTTGAAGTTGCAGCGGGAGTTGTGGGTCGAGAGGTCGCCGGACTCGCGGGTCCTGCCGGCGTCGCGGTGACCGTCGCCGGGGTAGACGGAGTGGACGCAGCCGTCGTCGTTGTAGCTGGCGTGACAGGCGCGGAGGTGACGGCGCCCTGTCCCGCGGTGCTCTGCGCCGCCACGGTGGACACGGTCTCGACCACTCGCATGAGAATGCAGGCCTTCGGGCCGTAACTTTGCGCTTCCACAGTAACAAGGGCGACGAGTGTGTCGATGGCACCGCGGACCCGCGCGACGCTTGTGCACGGTCTCTCACCCAGTGACGTTAAAGCGTATAAACATTCCAAGGTGTACACTAACAAGGGCTATGTCGCTCAGGGCTAGAAATCTGCAAGCAAACGCAACGGAATCTTTGTAACCGCGACAATATCGCAAAAATATCAATGCTCGAGTGTCGCGTGCGCAACTGCACTTTCGGAAAAGCGATGACCTCAATCGTCCTGATTATTGTGCAATAATTTTCTCCGCCCGAAAGTGGAATCGCGGAAATTCGTAAGAATTAATTGGTTCCGGCATGCCGAACTGAAAGAAAACGTGGATAAAATGCGCGCTTACCTGCAAATAAGTTCATATACATCGTCCGCCAGGCCGAACGTCACGACTTCCTCGTTGCTATCCTGCTGGCTGATTTTATTGAGCACTTCCAGGCAGGATATAACGATAAACCTGTCTTGAGACTCGATTCCTTTGGCCACGCACGACAGTACGACATCCGTTATCCTCTCGCCGGCCTCCTTTAGAATAATTTCATTCGCTATATTCCCTAATATGTCGAAGCCGAGCTGATGCAGATTGCTCCACCTCGCTCTCACGCACAGCAGCACGAATCGCAGGAAGCATCGATTCCTGCCTAATACCGTCGCATTTTCTTGCGTGAAACTAAGGTTCCGCAGAATGGACGCGATCTGCAGCACGCGCTGACCGTACGGATCCTGCGTGCCTAATGTCCGACCGACGCAAAACAGATCTTTATCCTCCTCCTCGAACTTGATAGAATTCTGATTCTGATCTCTCAAACTCTCGTCCGAATGCGACGCGAGGGGATCCAGCCGCGAGCAGTCCGGAAGTACCTGAAATTGTGCGAGTAGCATTGAAAATTTAGAAGAACGCCACGCAAAAAGACTCATTTAACCTCGACACTCAAAAAAATGATCTTGCAATAATAGCTAAAATTTTCTAGGTGTAAAAATTAACTAAAACAGATAAATTATTAGCAACTGTTGTGATATCGCATATGTAATTACTTAATCAGTTTAGATGACAGAAACAGAATATATATCTGTATTGTTTGTGAACTTTAAAAAGAAAGTTTCTCTAAAGCGCCTATCTATATAAGATCAATCACGTGTTAGATCATGCAATGAATAACATTTAGCAATGGTACCTAAATTTTTCAGAAGCTATTGCTAGAACATTACTGCTATAAATTCTATATGTGACAAACAATATTTTCACAGATACGAAAGATAGCGATACATTCTTGTTGCGATATCTAGAAATCTAACTACATCAGCGAAATATTTTTTTGAGTGGAGAATAAAGCCGGAATTTCGAATGCTAAAATATTCCGCAGCTCACCGCCTCGACGTCGATCGGCACTATCGACTCCTCGTTCTCCGTCGTCGACGTGGCGGCGCCCTGCTTGCTCTGCTTCTCCTTCTCCAAAGTCTTTCGCCTGGAGAACGTCGACAGACTGGTGGGCGGCTTCTTCATGAAAGTCCTCTCGTTCGTGAGGTCTATCACATCCTGGGAGTCGAGCACGTCCGACCAGAAGGAGTTGATCGAATAGTTGCGGACACGCGAGTACACCTCGATGAAGAGCTGCCGTGTGCCGGGCGAATCGAAGACGCCGGCGTGCGCCAGAAGGATGTTCACCAGCCGGGGATACTTGTCGAGCCGCAGAGTGTGCTTGCCCTCGTTCGACAGGAGAGTGCAGACGTTGATGGCAAAATCCTGCTCGTTCGGCAGCGGCGAGAGAAGCGACAGCGCGAGCTTGTCGTAGTTCGACGGCTTATAAAGGTCCGACGAGAGTCCGTTGTAGTCGCGCAGAGATTCTGAAAGCGAAGAAGGAAGGAATAATATTTTGCGACGGAATCACTTGAAATATACTTGTAATTTGAGTAACACGATAGGTTCATCACTTTGCAAGTTTTTTTTTTATTCTATAAAAGATTCATATTTGAAATAAGATGTATATATTTGTGCGCGATGCCTTAGAAACCTACTTTGATAATCGTGAGTGTGAAACGCTGCAACAGAATTTGTTTAATCGAAATTGCCATCTACAACGGCGATAATTGCGCCGATAACGATCACCCGAGCGCTAGAAGATTATCACAATATGCCGTCAAGCCGTTCCCGTTATGGTTATGCAATATTAGCGAGGAGATTTGCCTAAATGCGAAGGTTTTGCAAACGTTTACGCGCGCTGCGCTCGCGTTAAAATATTCGACAGTTTTTAGACACAATAAATTCGTCGCGGTCGCTCAATTAAAATAATTAAAGAACGCCGCTATTATCACACGGTGGTCAATTAAAATAATTAAAATACGTCGCTATTATCACGGCGGTTAATTAAAATAATTAAAACACGTCGCGTCTCTCCAGATGCGCTGCAAATGTACATTAGTGGGAGAAATATTTTAACAAATGTATGTAGAGTGGAATACACATTTAAATAGCTCAATGTTACAAAAAAAAAAAAAAAAAAGAAGAAGAAGAAGCGTATTTGTGCGAAATAAAATCTTCAAAGACTCGAAAGAGATACAAATTTATGCATTCTTTTAACGCCAAGTATAATTTCTGAGATGCGCCTATGTATTTCGAGCGGTTAGCATTGCAAATGCCATTTTAACATGAGAACCGATAACGCTGCTCCTCCATAAAACTTCACAAAAAAAAAAAACGAAAAAGAAAGTCCGACAAATTCTTAAAGCAACACCTTCTTTTAACACTCGGGCGACGCACTTCGCACTTCTTTCCGCGGCCGACGAAATTATTTAATAACTCGGCTTGTATCTTATCGGCGAAATCGATAGCGTCGAGCGCGCATTTCCCAATCGCGGCGACTCGAACTGCCCCGTCCTTGCCCCGGCGTTTCTCCGTTGAAAAAATAATTCGTATCTGCGGCGATCGCGTTATAGCCGGGAATATTGTCACGCGGCCAATCCGACCCTGTCCGCGCTCGACGACGATTCATTGAGGCAGGTCACGGCTGGTTGATGCAACAAGAAAGTGGAGCTGCTAGCAGCACGGCGACAGTACATCGGACAGCGCTCCGAATCGAGCGAGCGAGTGTAGCCTCTTTCGCTGCCCGCTTTAACATCCGCGGCACGATTCTATGTCGAAGGGACGATTAGTTTTAATTTTTCACGATTAATTATTCTGGGTTTATCCGTAAGAAATATTTTTACAAATATATATCGCAAAATTAGACGTGAATGTCTTGAAATTCACAATCGAGAAACATTTATTCGATCTCGGAATTACGCAAGTTACGACGCATACGTAAAAGTTATTTTGAAAAACTCGATAAATAGACGTTACGTTATAATAAATGTGGAAACCGGGGCCGATAGGGACGGTTATCGGTCATTGCCGGGGTGCGCGGGAGGCGCTTATCTGAGTAGCGGCGATATCTTGAGCCGCGAGATATCTAGAATAGTAAAAGCCTCGGGCTCTAATCCGACGTCACGATTTCCATGCACACAATTGACTGGGTTTATTCCGCTCGACGACGATGATCGAGTCAACGTCGTTTTATTGCCGGCGGACGGCGATTGTCGGCTTTAACGATTAAGCGGCCGTCGGCCACATTCGGCGTTTGAGAAGGACAGATCGTACGTTTCTTCGCACCGCGCCGGTTCATAAATCACGCCCCGCGAGACGATTCGCACCGCCGATATGATTGACTCATTTCCGATTTGTGCCGCAAAGTAGGTTGTGCTCACGGTCAAGGTTGGCTTTCTACGAGTGGCCGATATATTCCCCACCGGCGGAGGCGTCGCGCTGAGACACCGTGCGACTATTTCAGACTCGTCTGATTTTGCGGTCCGAAAAGTACGCAAAAGCCACTTTATCTTCACATCGATGGAATGTACATCGTAGTTTTCGACTTCTTGTAATTTTCTTCTTTTTTTTTTTTTTTTTTGGAATTCATTCCGAACAATCGACGATTTTTGAGTCATCGGTTAAAGTTTATTCGCCGCTCTCTAAAAAAAAAATTGCTCTTTAGACTTTTATTACGTTTTTCTCGAGAATATGCAAAAGCGTGTGCAAATATCGTCGGTAATATATTCCGTACTTTTTTTTTTTTTTCATCGAGAATGGAAGCTCGCACAATCTCAGACGGTAATCGATTCGCCGGAATGATAATTATGCGCTTGTATAACGCCTCCGGAGCGAGTTGGTTTCCCTCGCTCGGGCGAGGCTTTAGCATAGCGTATTGAGTGCTCCGAATGCGAGCTGAATACACGGGCTGTACGTACACGGCGCGCAAACGTTATCGCGGATCGCGGTAATCTTTTCAGCCGCAAAACCGCGATCAATATCGCGTCCCAGGAGAAGTGTCGAGTTTCGCCGGAAACCGGGGGGGAGGGAGGGAGGGGAGGGGAGGACACAAACCGGTAACGGCGGGAAAAGAAAGGAGACGCGAGGGGGGGGGGGGAGGTTGAAAATGAAAGAGGAAGGTCCGAAGGAGCCACGGGCTCGTTAATAAAATCACGACCCGTCAACAACGCTGCGAAGTGGCGAGTATCGATTTCAAGTTGAACACCTTGTTTCCATGGCGTAGTAAAGGGAGTCGCTGCTTTATGCAAGCGTGACAGATAAAGGAAGTCTCCGTCGAATGAGAAATGCTTCACTCCTTTCCGCGCGCTCGTGTGATACATTTTAATCAGGTTCCAAACAATTATCGCGCGCGGACAAACAAGCGCCTTTCGGCTTCTGAACTTTACATTCGACGTTAAAATCTGCTGAACTGCCGACCATCGATCTCTCTACATTTAGAAACTCGATCGAGTCCGCAAATGTCGCGTCGATTTTATAAAAAAAAAAAATCCCCTCATGAATGCAAAATACGGTTTGATCCGCATTAACGAATGTTTACGAGGCTATTTATAGGCTGTTGCTGTAAGCATCGCTGAAAGCAAATACACGCGGCTGACGCACTGTCATCGCGCTTTCCCCCGCGCGCAAATCAATCCAACTCCACCCGCGTCGATATCAGGCGGCTCTAGCGCGATTAAAGACCGATAATAAATAAGCGCTACGAGCGCGCGCGTGGAGGTGCGATCGATTAACGCAGGGATCACCGCGCGCCGATTAATCAATCAAAAATCCAAGAATCTCCCGGAAGATTTAACGCCCGCCGCGGGGTCGAGAGCGCTGTGCTTCGAGCACGCCTGCGGATTGAAAAAAAAAAACGAATTCCGAAATCCGGGCGCGGCGGGAACTTTTCGTCGACGGGAAGCGAAACGGACAGTCGTACGGTTCCCCGCATGCTAATTGGCATTGCAGTCTGTCGGACAAACGCCTCGTATAACGAGACGAGCGCGCGCGCGCGCGCGCGCAGTGCGACGAAAACGCGTCGATGCACCCGCCGGTGTGGCGCGCGATGGTCCAGACGTCGCGTCAATCGTCACGATCGCAGGTGGAATTCGAAATTTCCCTCCCCAACGAAGCGTTCGCGGTCGCGAAATCGATACCGGGCTCGACTCGTAAGTATTCAACCGGCATGAAAATGGGCCGCCCGCCGATCGTCCGCTTTCCTTCTTTTTTCTCCCCCCTCGTTTTAAACAGCCGTCCCTAATAACGAGGCACAACAGCCGGGATCGCGGGCGAGCTCTCTCTCTCTCTCTCTCTCTCTCTCCGCTGGAATCGCGGCGAACATCACGCAAGCGCGGCATTATACCGGGACGATCAAGAACCGACGGAACACTTATCCCCGCAAACGCTTATTGATTGTGACGCGCGCCCCGTCGTGTCTCGCTCCCGCCGCCGCTCCGTCCGCTTCCCTTTCTCCGTCCGCGCTTCTCTCCCGCTCGCGACGACACGCACGTGACAATGATACGGGAGTGATAATTCATTCCCGCGGTCGATTAACGCTTTAATCCCGATCTTCCGCTCTCCCTCGCCAGAAACAATTTGCACGATCGTTCAGCCCGGTCCGCCGAAAGACGCCGATTCGGGGAAGGAGTCTGCGGGGTGAAGAAAGAAAAAAAAAAAAAGAGAAAAACGCGGATGCACTCGGACGGCAATTTGATAGCCACGCATCGCGAATGCTCGATGAAACGGTTTGACGCTCGCCTGTCACGCAATCCCCCGCCGATACGGCGCGCTCACGCGACGATCGCGTGCGGCAAGCGGCAAGAAAAATTTCACGCTACCGTGCACAGTCGATCGGGGAAGACGCGTTTTCCCCGCGCGCGGCGCGTCGCGTCGCGTCGCGTCGCGGCGAACGTTGGATCTCGCGCGCTGTTCCGGGAATTTTCGAAAATACGAAAACACTGATTACATCGAGCGAAGTAATAATCTCGCAGCCTCGGCGAGACGAGCGAAACAATTTGCATAAATACTGAATGAATACACGGCGCTGACTCAGACGGCGGTGTTTTGTGAAGCAAGTCATCACACGTTCACGTTTCATCGCGATGACTAACACCGATCGAAGCCGATGCGTATCTGTCGCGCGTTATAGTTTATTTAGTCGCTCCTCGATCCACAACGACACCGATTAACGCGAGGCCCAAAAAATGTTTCGAAAAAAATCGCGATCTCAGCTCCGAGAATTAAATACAAAAAAAAAAAAAAACCGTAACGCGAATGATTCGAGCGAGCGGATCGCGAGCATCGACGCAAGGCGGGGGAGGGATGAATCGGAATGAGAAACGGGGGAGAGAGCTTTCCCGCGCCGGGACGCCTTTACTGACCCGGTTCCGAATAGAGCGTCATGCCGCGGGAAGGAGTGGGAAGGGGCGGGGGGGAGGGGGGGGGGGAGTCGGCAACGTCGGCGCGCGCGGGTGTGCTCGCTAATCAGGATCGCCCGCAGTCGTCGTCGCCGCGCGACCAGGAGGACACCTCGGGGGCAGGCAAATTAGCAATCGTTACGTACACGTAGATATCGCATCGCAAGCATCATTTCGCGCCCCTCCCGGCGGACGAGGGGAGCGGGGGAGCGGGGGACCTCGCACCCTGGGCGCGCTCGCACACAGCCCCTCCCCCTCCCGCCCCCGCCGTCATCCCGGCTGTAACCCCCCAGAGCTTCTGTGCGGGCGGTCGCTCGAACACGGCACACGCAGAAACTCGAGGCTGCCGCATGCGACCTGCGCATGTCCGCCGAGTATAGACCCGCGCGCGTTCCGGCAGTCGACGCGGGCGGGCGGACTCGCCGGTGGTGTTATATATGCGCCATGCTCCCTCTATTTACATATACAGGATGTCCCCGAAAGACCGGACGTTTCGCACGGACGGCAGGATCCTCCCGGTACGATTGCGAGTGGATCTCGCATCGGCGGGGGAAGGATCGAGGGATCCGACGTGCGAGAATTCTCGCGGACGAAAAGCGAAGCTGCTGGGTTTGCACTCGGTTTTGGACGTTTTTGAAAAAAGAATTCCAATTCGAGGTTCAATCGCGAATACTTTGACCGAGGAGACTCTCCGACTCCGAATCGGCCGAGGAGAGGCGGCGTCGTCCGATGTATTTCGGACACCTTGTGCATATGTGTGTCATGATTATTGCCCATTAAATTATCTTGCACATGCCGTCGCTCGCCCTCCCACGACCCCCCTCCCCCTCCTCGCCCCTTTACGAGCGAATGCACGAATGCTCCCAGCCAGGCCAGCGCCAGCGACTCGCATGTGCGCGCTGCTCTGCTATCTATCTCTCTATATCCCTCTCCAGCTCGATAGCCTGCTGCCGCTGCTGCTGCTGCTCTCCGAGCGACAGCACGTCAATAACCCGTTGCCGCCTTGGCCGCGGCATGTACACGCATCTATATATCGCACGCGGTACGCTTAGACGACGCGAAGACGACGCGAAGACGACGCGAAGACGACGCGAGCTTCCCCGACGGGGGGATTTGCTCTGCTTGCAAGAGTCACGATCGAGAAGAGCGAAGTTATTCGGCGAACCCCGGCCGATTATTAAAGCCGAATGAGTAATTATTTTCGCGACGCTCTAGCTTCGCCCGCCGTGTTAATTAATCTCTTTTATATGATACGCTATAATTGCAAATGCAAATCTGCCACCGGGAGATCTCATGTAAAAAACATTGAGATATTTCTCGCGATAAAGTCGGGTTTGAGAGGAAAAATTGCAACGTGACTCGCGGGGAGATCGAGCCGCGTGATATTTTTACGCAGCGTTGCCGGGACGACACACGGAACGAGTGAGCGAAAAATTCTGACAGGCGGAAATTGCTAACGTAGCGAATTATTGAACCGTGACTCGCACATACAAACAGAGAAAGAGAGGGAGAGAGAGAGAGAGAGAACGGTGTGTGCGCGCGGCGCGACGATAAAGAGCGACGAGGAGGCAAACAATAGGCTGTGGAAAACGCATTTGAGTCGCTTGACCGTGCATGCGAAATATATCGACGCCGGCATAAATTGGCAAAAGCGGTTTATCGGGCGCGCGAACGCATTCGTACGAGCCTGTACAGTTTGCCACACGAAAAAAAAAAATACGCGCCGAAACAACATCGAAAGATATATTATTTTCCGATTTCAGGTGCGACAAAAAAAAAACGATGCATTATCAGCGCAAAATTTCTCCAAGCATCATTAATTCTGTAAACAATGAAACGTCCCAACGATAGCGGCGGCCTTTTTCACAATCGCTAATTTCTCACCTGCGATGTTGTGCTGATGATGATTATAGGTAAGAGGAACGGAGTGCAGTGCTCTGGCCGACCACTTTCGATGCCTGGAATCCTCGTCGTCGTCGTCAGCCTGTTGACCATCCTCGCCTAGAAAGTGGACCTTCTCGTACCTGTCCAGATACCTGAAAACACGCATAAGGCGCTTCAGTACTCCGAGCACACTCGTAAAATTACATTTCAAGTCGAACAAGTTGGATCTCGATAGATGGATGTAGAGTTAGATGGTCATCGATGGATTATAAAAGCGCCGCTGCGAGACCGGACGACCATCCGGACAGTCGTGACGATAATGTGTTTTGCATTAAGAGCAGTTGGATTTTCTCTCGAGCGCGCCTCAGCGCGGAACGAGGTTTGTCTTGCCTAAAAGTCATCTTTCAATCGAGCAATCACGCATCGCCGCTCTCTTTTCCGCGGAAAATTGAAAAAATATAGGATTAGCAGCTCGAGAGACCGGCGTGATTTATCGAGCGCGTACTTTCCGTTCTTCCGGGAACAACCGGAAGTGGATGTTTCGACGTTGCGCGATTTGAGGAAGGGATCAAACGCGAGATCGCGCATGCCTGCGAGCATACGAAAATCGAACGGGCGAATGATCTTCCCGGGTTCAAAGGCACCGGTCTCGCGTGACACTCGGCCTCTCTCGTCGGCCGCGGGATCGGCGCGCTTACCGAGAGAGAAAACCGGTCCGACCCGCACGATGCGTCACCGCGTGGTGCGCAGTTCCACTTGGGGAACGCGCAACTCACCGCAAGCGTTCTACTATCGGCCGCGCGAAGGAAACCGCTCGACTCTCCGGGCTAACCGGGAGAGACAGACAGGACCGAGCGACCGAGCGACCGAGCGACCGACCGACCGACCGATCGTCGAAAGTGCGACGAACTCGTACGACGTTCGCGCGAAGGGGGTAGATGAAAAGAGAGAGGGGGGGAGAGAGAGAGAGAGAGAGAAGAAGAGAAACAGTCATGAGGCAGCAAAGAGAGAGAGAGAGAGAGAGAGAGAGGACATCGAGTCGTGGGTGGGCGAAAGAAAATGGTGGGGGTAGATGTAGTGGATCCATTCATGCAACCAACGTACAGTGCGGAAGGTGCACAGGCGGCGGAGAGCAAGCAGCCAGAGCCTGATTGGCCGTTGGCGGGTGTCGGACTGCTCAACACACTCTGACTACTGCGGCAGCGGCGTGCCACTGCTACGGCCGTGTGCACGCTGCTGCTTTTTTATCACTAACTCGGAGTAGCAGATGGCGGGGGGGGGGGCAAGAGGGGGGGGCACGTGGCCTAACCGGAAGTGGGCTCCGATTTGGGGCGATTTTAAGTTCGGGTTGCGCAAGGAAAGTTCTCGATGCGATACCGCAAGTTCTTCGTCGATGTACGAGTAATCGAACGAGGGCGCAAAGTTCGATGATCTTGATAAAAGTATCGTATTTATTCGCAGAGAGCAGCAACGTGCGAGCGCGACCATCGGCTGTGACGCGTCTGCGACGATGACCGCTCTCTTTCGTTTGGATCAAGTCAAGTCCACCGTTCTACTGTGGAACGCGTAAGCCGAAACCGATTTAAGTCCAGGTTGACGACAGCGGGGCACGACCGTTGCTCACCGAAGATGGCGGGACGATGAAATTTTTCCTCGAATTTAGACCCGGGGGCGACTCTGCCACGCGTTCCAATTATACACATCGCGGCACGAAAATTTATTCTTAGCCCTCTTGTCAGCCCGATGTCACGGGTTCGTATCAGGAAACGGCGTTATGTCACCCGGTGGATATATTAAGATCCAGTTAAAAATAGACGAAAAGACGAGCTTGCACACACACACATATATATATATTATCGCTTCTGAAAACACTTCACAATCCGCGAAACCGAACCGATTCACCGGACCTTCGGTCCTCGGTGAAAAATCCCAGGAAAAAGGGAAGGTTCAACGGACGACGAAAACCTTGGCGCGAAAAATCACGCGTGACAGCGCCGAGTAAACAGCCGAGGACTCTCGGTCGCGCGCTTGCCAGCCACGCGCGCGCTAGCAAGATTGCACAGGGCTCACTCCCGAGAGGAAGAGAGAGAGAGAGAGAGAGAGAGAGAGAGAGAGAGAGAGAGAGAGGAGGAAGAGAGAAGA